ATGGTGGTGGTAGCAGCAGCAGCTCAGCGGCGGCTCAACAGATGTTGAGGCTGCGTGGGAGAGGGGCGTGGGTATGGGCGTGGGCGTGGGTAGTGCGGCGCAAAAGGCAGGATTGATAACGGTGGTGGCGTCGAGCAGCGGCAGTCACCCGTCAGTCTTGGAGATTCATGAGAGCATGGCGGCGCAATGTGGCGGGCAGAAGAGGCGCCGTTGGTGGGGATGAGGGGCGATGGCGGTGATGGTAGCGATGGCAGAGGTGAGGGTATAGTGCCTGCCCAGCGTCGTGGCTCGCCCGGATTAGGTGCTGGTGGGCGGGCCAGCTAATACTTAGTAGCCTTGCAAGGGCCGGGGCAATGAGCATGGCTACATGCCCATTGCCCATTGACCATTGGCCAGCCCAGTACATTCGCATCACGACCAGGAGCACCAGCACCACCAGCACCAGCACCAGCACCAAGATCAGGAGCAGCCTCAAGATCAAGATCAGCCTGCGCCGTGCCAGTCTACGCACACTGCGCCCCAGCCATGCTACCGAATACACGTCCGCTGGTTGCGCCGCGAGGTCAGCCCGGCGTTTTGAGGCCGGTTGTGTCGCATCCAGCCCTCTGCTTTTTTTCTTTTTTTCTTCTTTGGCCCGGCAGCTGCAGGTGACGGACAGGTGGGAAGAAAAGGGTTGGTTGCACTGCGTGCAGTTGGTCGATTAAATTGCATGGCCATGTCCATTTCCGTTTCCGTCTCTGTTTCCATTGGCACCCACTCTCGCATTGCCATTACCCACGCGCCCGCACCCCCTTTCCTCGCCCGCGACTACATACATATACACTCTGGCCCACCCGCACTCCCGCCGCCGCCCTCTGTTCGTCGCTGGCGGTAGACGGGCAGCAAAGAGAAAGAATACGGCCGGCAGACGGTAACGAGTACGGGCGAGCAATGCACATAATCCGCCCCCGCCGCCCGCACGTGCGCGCGCGCCATGGCCCCACCCATCCCGCTTGAAACAGGCCGTGGGTGGGTGAGCACGTCCACGTCCACGTCCATATCCACGTCCACACCAAACATTGAGTCCCTCACCCGTCGATCCGCTCATTCTTTGAGCCCGCGCCATGGTTTTTGCTGGCCACTCGCCGACCGACGATGCCACGGCCCATACTCTCCACCATGCCCTCGGCAACCTCGGCGGTCCACGCAAGAGCTGGATGTTGCCTTCTAATACCTCCGTTGAGCCCTCGGCACTTCCCGCACAACCCTCCGCCAGTCCTCTGCCATTCACGGTGCGTGGCCGTGGAAGGCCTCGTAAAATACCCTCTCAGAGGCACCCTTCTTTGCACCCCGTAGACCCGTCCGCCCAGTCGCCGTACACCGCCCAGCCAGAGCAGCACCCGGCTTCCAACTATGCTGCATCTCCCCAGCTAGCCAATGCCCTGGCTCCTAGACCTTCCATTGCTTCTGTGCGTACTTCGCCAATTCCCTGTGAAGATGCCGCAACCAGCGCGGCAACGGCAGCGGCGGCAGCGGTCGCGGTCGCGGTAGCAACAGCATCACCAACCACGTATAGTCCAGCAGCCAATGTGTCCACCTTCACCTTCAACTCTGACGGATCAGCCTATGCGCCGGAGACATCCCCAGAGCACGTATATATGGACTCGGTGCAGCGTGGGCGCGCCTCACACGGCTCAATAGATGGGCATCCCCGTCAGATATTCCCTCCGCCCCAACCTACAAACCCCCAGCCGTCAGTCAGACGAAGCATGACAAACGTGCCGCCCCATGTTGCCGCAGATGTTGCAACCCCAGATCTGCCACGTCGCCCATCATTAAACACGTATCCGCAGACCAACAGTCCAATACAAAGACAGGCTCACACTCACAGTCCTTCCAGCTTGACGCACACACCCGGCCAAGTGCCGTCTCCACATGTGCCCACAGGCGTACAATTCCACCACCCAGCCGAGCGCAGGACAATGGCTCTACCACAAACGTTTCCTGAAAGCTCGCCTACCTCCTTAAATATGACATTCACAATGTCGTCGTGGTACACAGCCAACAGCTGTTTGGACACACTAAGCGCATTCCAGGAGTCAACACCTGCATTGACCAGCAACTCTCGTGACAAACTGCGATTGGGTGTATTACGAGATGCAACTGAGAAGCAAGACTGGTTCTATTTGACTATGCACCAGTGCTACTGCATGCTCACCACTGCTCCCGAGACTCTACCTGATACTATAAAAAATCTCCCGGGCTTGCCTCAGGCCAAAAAGATACTGCAGGACATTCTTGAACCCAACCACATTCTGAGTCCTGGCGTCCTGTACTTTTTCACAAATTACCCGTATCCTATGCGGCAAATCTATGACACGTGGCCCTCGGGGTTTAATTACCAGGTGCATTTGTTCCGTATGTTTGTAGCACATTGCCTTAACTACGAATATCTAAAGAGTACATGCGATCAGCGTCGTTATCCGCCACTCGCACGCGAACTTGACACAACTCTCTGTATCCCTTCACCCGTGTTCCAGCGCCTCATTTTCACTGCTTTTCTACGCTACCTCTGGCACGCCAACCAAAAAAATTCTTTCGCGACTGAATTCGAGGTCAGGGCTGTTGCTATTTTTCAGCAAAATCAGATCGATTATTTCCGCCAAAAACTTGAATCGACTCCTGTCAGGTCTCAAGAGGCACTGGCTGCGGAACAAGTCTGTGCTTCCAAAATCCGAGCGGCTGTCGAAGGCTATGAAAACGCCCTTCGCCAAGGGGGTGTTCCATCAATGTCTCTCTACCAGTCGCACCAGCAGCAGCAGCAAATACAGAGCAGTACTGCGAGGCAGCTCAATGCCACCAGTGTCGCAAGTCCATACCCTCAGCAGTCTGCTATTCATCAAGTATACGAACAGAATTATACTCCGTCTCTGCCAATCAATACAAATCTACAACCTCAGCCAGCACCAACACCAACATCAGCTCAAATCCAGACGAAGCTGCCCGCGAGCTTGCTTCCACCATCTGGGCGCGTACAGCCTCAACAGCGCGTGGCCAATCCCGCTAGATTCTCTCTCCACCAGGCCCATCTGCGAAGCCCCGTCCTCAAAGCGCATTGCGTCCCATCGCCACTATATATATTCCAAGAAGGATATGTCAAATCTCCTGCGCGATTGTCAGAACCAGGTTGTACAATGGAAAAGTGGGTTTTTGTAGTAACACCTGACCAGATGAGCTCGTTCCCTAGGACTGTCCGCCAATCAGTTGCCGACCCCGGTGTCCGGAATATCAAGGAGAATAACAAGATCGCTCGTTTGCGTTGCATCAAATGGAAAAAGGGAACAGATACACCAAAGGAGCATGTCTGGGCAACCACCGACACATCCTGGATACCGTACCTGTATCTTAGCTTAAATGGTACGCCTCTCGAAGTACGGAAAAAGATGCATCACGGTAGGGACCTAGCCGTCGATGTTACCGACCTGCTTCGCGAGGGTGAGAACGTTCTCGCAATGACCATCATGACCCAACTAAGCGACACATCGCACTTGGACTACCTCCTCGCTATTGAAGCCATGACTATCATCTCTCACGACTCCATCAAATTAAACTGCACAACCAAAGACCGCGTCTCTGCTCAGACCATCCTCGAATCCATCAAACAGAAACTCTCAGGCCCCATCACCTCCTCAGCCGCCGCCACCGACGACGACGACGATCTCCACGTCGTCCAAAGCAACATGACCGTCAACCTCCGCGAACCCTTTGGCCAGTCAAAACTCTGCGACACGCCGGTCCGCAGCAAATTCTGTCATCACCACGATTGCTTCGACCTCGACATCTTTTTGCGCTCCCGACCCCGAAAGGGCGATGCATCCGTCGTGGATCACTGGAAATGTCCCATTTGCGGCACCGACGCGAGACCGAATGTACTGGTACACGATGGCTTTATCGAGTGCGTGAACATGGCGCTTGAAGCAAGGGGATTAAGCGAGACGAGGCAGATTATCATGCTGCAGGATGGCAAGTGGAGGGTTAAAGATGAGGCCGAGGGTGGCGCGGTGCAACGGCGTGAGTCTGAAGAGCGTGAGGCTTCTACGCCTAATACTACTGTTGCCCTCCCGTGGTCGTCCGTATCGAGGTTGTCGAGTGTATCTATACCTCCTGATGCCGAAATTATCGATCTTAGTGATTAAGATCGTTGCTTTTTTTTCTCCTGATCCTGAGATGTTCCTGTTTTTTTTGATCTTTCTTCCATCTCGATTTATGGGTTGACTATGAAGGTCTCATCTGGGTTCTTTTCTTCCACACAGAAGTAAAGTCTTGTTCATCATCTTCTTCTTCTTCTTCTGTTTACGGATGTACATATATACATCCGCTCGTCATTGTACCTAGGCGTTTCCTTGCCCTTTTCCCACTCATCATATCCCAGTGGAGTTTTTTTTTACCCTGCGATGCCCTGATACCCCCTTTCCTTTCACTTGTTTAAATACGACTTATGCCTTTTTCATAAATGTCTCAAAAGCAAAAATCATGATCAATCTCGTCTTCTGTTCTCTTTGCCTCTGTTCTCATCGTGAAACAATCAGGAATCATTCTGAAAGAAAAAATCTATAAGACTAGATGGTAACAATATCTATCTATACTCGCTCGCGCGTAGCCTAGGCGTTGAATCTATCAAAAAACAAAAAGTTCGTTAAATGCGGGGGGGTCAAATAAAATATCAACCTCTAGCGGGACCGGCGGCCGCTGTATACCCAGAACGGAAATTCTGGGGAGGGAGATATTATGCGCCCCGTCCAAAGCCAGCTTGGTAGTCCTCGTTCTCCGGAACGGACGGCAAGGAAAATCGTTCTGTATGGGTATATATAACATCTTCCTTTTACATCCGCAAATCGCAGACGCGCGCCCGGCGTATCTCGAGTGGAAACCTCCTGGGCTTTTCACAAAATCAACAACTAAACCTCCCTCCTCTTCCTCTACTTCTTTAATCTCCGAAATCTCCATCTTCGACCTTGTCTTCATCCAGCCAGTCGCACCGTCCACTTCTCTTTCTTCTCGACACACGCAACAGGCGCAGGCGCTTGGACCACATTCATACCGTACGCCTCGAGATCGTGACAGCTCGGAAGCCGCCCACTACACGCGATTTCCCTCAGCAAACTGGGTCCACGGCCCATATCTACCTCTCCGCCCAGGACCACACACGCAGCTTCTTCGAGCTTCTTGGCGAGTAGCTGCCACGCACGGCCATGCCCTGTCGCGCCGTCGCACGCCTCGTGCATGGAGCACGAGCGACAGGAATACGCTTTGAGAAAGGCATGGCACATTTCGTGGATAATGGTTCCGAGGCGGTTGTTCAGGCGCATAATGTCCGGGTGGTGACTTGGCGTGCCGGCGCCGCGGTATAGAGTGGGATGGACGAGGATCTGGGTGCCGATCAGAGGGTTGAAGAGGGATTTGCCAAAGCAGTCGCGCTGCTGCTCGGGGAGGTACGAGAAGCCTGCTGTTAGAGTCGCATTGTGCGTGGGTACGCAGCCTGAGAAGAAGACACGGTTCAGGTGCGTGAAGAGCGTGGTTAGTTGCGCGACTGAGAGCGTGCGGCGCATGTCCAGGCCGGTGATTTGCGGGTGCCATGCTTTGAGGAGACTGCGCAGTTGGTGGACGGCCGGGGTAATGTGCGCAGATGGGTGGAGGTAGGTCGCGTCGAGCCACGCCATGTGGTGTCGTACCAAAGTCATGGCTTCATAGTCGCCGCGAAAGCGCAGTCGCAGGTACGATCCTGGACTTACCTGCTTGGGCTGATTCTCATACAACAGGCCTTTGGAGCGCCGGGTGCGGTTGGTGTTGGCCAATTGGTCCTTGATGATGCCATGGGATTTGGTCGTCGTGATTTTGTAAAGCTTAGGCGCGCACTCGTCGCATTCACATGGTACATCTGCTTCTTGCACGTCTCTTCTCAGGTCATCAAGGTTTCGCGGGGCCTCAGAGGCCTCTGTTTCCGTTTTTGGCTGCGGAGGTCGTCGGAGGATGCGGTCCTCGATAAATGACAGTTTGGGGTCGAGCGAAATGAGCGGCTCGAGAAAGGGGAGCAGGTAGTGCCATTTAGACGGGCCGTGACATGCTTTGCCCTGCTCGTGGTCTTGTATCTGTTCCCTGGTGCTGGGTGTTTTTGGGTTTCCGAGGATGAGCTTTGCAATTCGCCGAAGGGGATGAAGCCGTCTCCTCTTCCTCTTGACGGTAGGGTTATTGGCCGACGTATCTGAAACGGGAGGATTCCCCATGGGGCTATTGTTATTGGAATCTGACGTATAGCACTTGACATGAAGGAAGCAAGGAGGATAGGAGATATTTCTTTGCCAGGAAGTGGGCCCATGATAGCCGTTTGCAATGCGGAGGGCTACCCGAACAGTGAGGCGGTCAAGCGATAAGATTGAGAGATCCTAGTCACAATATGCTTGTGTATCTCACTATGCACGCCATGCAGTGCACAGACGGTTGGAGCGGTCAAGGGTGGAGGCGAGGGTTGGCAGGTCTTCCGGTACGAAACAATCGGGTCCGGAGAGACGGTAAGGTTTTGTGATTGCAACACTGGGTGTTATTGCTACTGGCCAGCGCATAGTATAATTGCGTGGTTATCATTTTTTTTGTTTCGGCGAATGTCGCCATGCCACGCGCGTCGAAAGAAAAGGACTCGGGATTCCTGCCCCTGGGTCACGGAACTGTGTTGCCGCGAAGAGTTAGTGCGGTGATTGTTCAATTCAAAAGGATAGCGCCACGTGGCGCAGCTGGGGGTCTGCTCGCAACGTCCCCAGGGTCTAACGTTGCGCACGGGCGCCCGGAGGCGCGCCATGTTTCCGCTTCAATAAAAGGCAGGCGGAACAGGCGCTCGAGATCCGACTCCTTTGTTGCACTGTCGTGTTTCCGCTGCGGCCAGGTGTGCGCTGTCAATGGCCCCTTGTTTTCCAGGCAGACTTTGGGCATCCAATGCTACCGGGGGAGCGGAAGAGACGAGGTAGACCTCTGTCAGCGGTGGGGCTTCCTCGGCCCAAGACTCATGCACAGTCAGCTTGGCCAATCGCCAACAAGTGCCATTGATGCTGTAGGTGTAGGGCTGCCAACTCAGTCAAAGCATGATGGCGCTCTTTGGCATGCATGATTGCAGCGTCGCATTAACATCTTGCTCTAATCTAGAGTGTGGAAAGCCTATCTGGATGCTGAGACGTGAGCAGGACGCGATGGCAAGTATCTAAGTGTAGTAGAGCAGGGTCGGTGTAGCGCTGGTTCATTACGTGCCTTTGTGTGTGTGTCTGCGGGGATCCGGTGGAATGGGTTGCGCATGGTCTCGAAAAGAAGAAGAAGAAGAAGCTTCTTCTTCTCGTTCGAAGATCTGCTTCACTAAGCTTGTAGTGTTGCAAAGTAGAAAATCTCCTTGCCGATCTTCCGCCTTCGGGTATGCAGCCCAGACTCTAACAAGCCGAAGAAACTGACAAGTGCAAGCTCATTTTCACACAATGGTGTTTTTGTCATGGTACTTGGTAGCAGAGGAAGACTTGGTATTTGTTGAGCTCTGCGGTCAGTTTGAGTATTAGTGTATAATGAAACTGGTGAGGCCATAACTGGAGAGGAACTAAAGAGATGGCGACAAAGGTTTCTACTCCAAGGAAGCGCGTTTGTTACAACAAAGGACACTCGGTGCTGGGGTCGACAGGACGCCAGTAGGGCCGAGTGGGGGAGTGGTGATTGGCTGCTTGGACCAGCGCTGTGCACTGGGTGACGGGGAATGCGGGAATTGGAGCGGGAGGGTTCAGGAGATGGCACGAAATGAGAAGACTTGGTGAGGCATGAACAGTGGTTCCGGTGACTGGGTGAACCGAGTGCGGCTCTCGGGTGGTTAGTGTAGCGGCGGCCAATGATGGACACTGCAGACCAGGGATCTGGGAGGGTCAGCGTGCGGCATTTGGGTGGGTAGCCACGTCGTGCGGAAATGCATGCCGATCGCCAATACGGGCCTAGCAGGGAACCCAAGCGATGATACCTGGGGGCGGGCCTCTGTGCCTCTCTGGCAGCTGGTGGCCGTGGTGGCGACGGATGGTGCAGCCAGATTGACGGAGCATGGCCGTGACTGGAGCAGTAAGTTCAGATGTAACATGGAGAGCGATGTGACCCAAGCCACGTTAGTGCTGTGAGCAAAACAGCGAGGGTGCAGGCGTAAGACATAGTAATATTGGACGTGAGTAAGAAGGATGGAATTCTAAATAAGACGAGCAGCCGCGATAGGGGCGATGGGGTCGTGGAGCGTGCAGGCAAACAGGTCCAGACACACGGACGGGACAATTTCCAGGGCGGTTTCAGCAAACGTGTGGAGGAGGGCATGGCAGAGGGTCAAGTGTGTCGACCCTGTGTTGCAGCGTGCGGCGGCGAATGCCTAGCAGTGCCTAGCGACGCCTAGCAGTGTCGATCGCGTACAGAGTTGCGCCACCAGCGAGAAGGAGCGAGTGCCAGTGTGAGAGAGAGCGTAAGAGGACGTGTGGTGTCGGGAATAATGACAATTAGGCTTTGATCGCCAGCGGCCAGCAGCGGGCGCCCCTTTGTTGGAGCGGGAGCTGGGTCCAGTGGCAGCGAGAGCCAGAGCCTCGAGGACAGCGGGTGAACAAGGCCAGCGGGCGTGGCAGCCAATGAGTGGGCGGCGATGGAGGGAGCAGATTCCAGAAGACTGCTGGCAAGAGAGCCAGACAGGCCGCTGGGGCGCAATGGGGTCGGACAGCGAGGTGTGAGTGGGTAATCGAGGGCAGTGATACAGGCGGCGGACATGGATGACATGGATGCTTGGCGTGGATGCTGGCTGACGTCCCGGCGTGCTGGCCTCGCCCTGTCCTAGCGCCATCGTCCAAGCCACGGCCAGCACGCCTTATACATAGCAACCCTGGCGCCGCCTGCCTCGCAACAGTAGTATATGTACATTCATCCACATGTACACGCACTGCACATCCATCCACCACACATCCCACAATGGCCACCATGTTCCGTCACTTCTCCTTCGACCCCGTCCCCCGCCCGGCCTACGCCGCGTATGAGGCCGAGCGGGCGGCTATGAACGTATCGCCCACATCGCCAGCCTTGCTTCCACACCACCCAAGTCGCCCGCCCACGCCGCCCTGTACAATGGGCGACCTCGCCCTCCAGCTCAACACCCAGACTCTCCGCATCGACTCTTCTGTCGCCTGCCGTCCCACGCGTCCTCCCACGCCCGACAGCGACTGCGACACGAGCCCGTCGTCACCCACCACCGAATGCGTGCAGGAACAGCCGCGCCCCACCTACTCGCGCATCTCAGCCTCAATCCTGCGCATGCAGCGCCAGCACACGTCGCGCATGCAGTGCACTTCCTCGCACGCCCGCGACATTTCCAAGCTCGTCCAGATGATCGAGGCTGAGAAGCAGTGCACCGTCAGCCCCCCAGCCTCGACATGTCCTCCAACCGCGTCCTCTGCCCGCGACGAGGCTGTGGACATGGACTACGACCTCCCCGCCAAGCGCATCGAGGCAACCATCGCCACCCCAATGTGGAGGGCATCCGATCGCCGGGAGAGCAGCGTCCGCGTCACAAAGACGGTGCGCATGCGCAAGCGTTCGAGAGAGAACGGCGTGTGCAAGTAGTCGGCCTCGAGGTCGACTCTGTTTCTGCATTTCATTGCATGCATAGCCAAGGCGTTTTGGGTTTTTGTTTCACATCACAGGCGCAATATACCACTTGATCTTTGATGGAATACCATGGGTATTAGCCCATGAGGCCGTGCCACAGGGCGGGCTTAGGGATACGGGTACATGGTACTACTCGTTCTACACACACACACACACACACACATGTCTATTGCTTTCTGAAATGCTCCCTGCGGGTTGAGCCGGACGCTGTAGGATGCGACGAGCCGAGGGCTGTTGTTGCGCTACATTATGTATTTAATATTATTGCATCATTGCACAACATACATGGCTTGTATTCATGTTATTTGGTGTTGTGTGCCAATCAGACTCAGCCCTACGTTACCCGCATCCTGTGAACCTGCGTCCTGGTAAATTTGTGCCCCACTCCGAACCGCCGCACCGCTGCCAATGCCGAACAACCCTTGGTCTCACCAACACCACCACTCCCACCGCTGTCGCTTCCATCGCCGCCATGTCGTTCCGACGAGCCCTGGCCCCGCGCTCCATTCACATACGCATTATTCCCCGCCCAGCCAACCTCTCAGAGAGTCGGGAAATCTACCGCGTGCTGCAAAAGTTTGGCGAACTCGATACCTTCAAGTACCTGCGGGTGCGTCATCATTGTCCCATCTTGCCTGCGCCAGGCACGTCTTGCTCTGCAAAGAAAGCGCATCTGACTCCTCCTAGTACGAATACCAAAACCCCGCAGACAATGTCGCTCTTGCCATATACCGCGACGAAATGTCCGCCCAGCGCGCCCTTGACGCCTCGCCCCTCCGCTTCGCCCTGGAAAAAGTCGTTTCTCCAGCCACTACCCATCCAACACAATCCTCTTCGTCGCAAGAAGAGGAAGAAGAGGGCGGTGACCTAGACAACTACTCAATTGAGCAAACACAACACACCAAAGGCATCGACGAGATCCTGCGCCCCTCGCAGCTCGCGAACCGCTCTTGGCAATCCACACCCACGACCAAGCCAACTCCCAAACCAACTCCCAAACCAACTCCCATGCCCTTCGAGTCCCAAGCGCCCTCTGCGAAACAAATCAAGCAGTCCAAGTGGTTCCAAGTAACCATAGATCGTTCACGAACTGTGCATCAAGATTACATCGAGCGTCAGCCCTTCTGGAAGCAGTTCAGCCCAATGAGGACCATTGCTCAAGAAGACCTGGCAAAGATAGTACCACACCTAGGGCTGAGCGATATCAGCAAGCGTCCACCCAATGCCCATAGAACGCCCTTCCGGGTGCTCAAGATTATGAATGACTATGTAGAGACCAAAATGCCGACACTGCGAGGAATATTCGAGGGCAGCGAGGCAGATCGCGCATTCGAACAAAGAAAACAATCCAGCAAATGAGAATTCGACTGAATCCCATATTCTGACAAGCTCCTTATGCTTCAAGCAACCAGGATTCTCCAAGTTCTATGTAGAGCACGTCAGTCCAAGGCATATTCCAGCCACTTCGCCCGTTGGTTTAGCTCGCATGCATACTACCAACTAGCCTTTTGAGATGACAGAACAAGTCAAGAGACGAAGGACTCGCATATACGGGAATACTCATGTTCAATGCCATGCTTGAGAAGTATGGACGGATGACTTGCTGGTAAAAAGTAATCAAGCCAAGTCATGCACGCAACGTAGAGCACGTAGAGCTCATCCAATACTGGACTCAAGCACTTCATAACGGCGACTTGAGTCGACAATACTCAGAAAAGGAAAGGCTAGCCAACACAGACTGTCAATTTATCTGGAATTGCGATAGTACCGTGCTGTAGAGCACAGAGAAATCACGTCATTTCTAACGGGAGATCAAACGGTAGATTTACATACTTGGAGCGGCCCGGTCTTCGTATGCGTATTGGGAAATTTATCACATAAGTGATCGCCCGACAAAGTTCCGCAGCTCATACTAGAACAAAGGTGGAGGCTTGTAGAAAACATCGTGGCTGACGCTGTTGACCATGCCGGTGCCGAGCCGAAATGGTCAAATGATTCCGCTTCATGCAATGACTGAGAAGTGAGAGTCCTTTTTGGGATGATCAGCCACCCTTGATCACCAAGTCTCCAGGAGGTCGCACGGCAATCTCGGTTCTTAGATAGTGGCGCATACCTGCTGATAGTGGGTCAAGGCGGCTGTGCAGCCCATGCACAACGAGAAAGACCAAAGACAGTTCCCACCTTGATAATCGATACCGCCACGGCACTATTCGGCGCCTCAAGCAAGGGTCATTTAGCGCAGACTGCCTGGCGTTTCATAAACTCTTGGCTCCCGAATAGGCGTGAAGCCTTCCCGCGCTGACTGCATCTGAGACATGGTCCCTGGAGGGGCTACACAAGTACACTACATAGTTGGGCGCATCGTCTGTGACTCTTTGTCAGCGTTAGATACCCGCTGTCAAAAATGCTACTATACTACACTGTTGAATGTGGGCGCCTGTTGCGGAGCATCACACACGCCCATGATATCAGTGGCTCATGATACTCAGGAGAAGACGGGTCTATGCTGGGCGATCGGCAAGCGCTGTTTGTAGTTTAACGTCCGTTGGCCAATAGCAATGCGCAGGGAGCACAATGGCACTAGACGACTCCTTAAATCTTGCCCGGCTGTACCCCAAAGGTCACATACCTGCCGAATCTCAAAACGCCCTTCTGACGCTCCCTTGAAAAAGAATCCCCCTCGTTTTTTCCTTTTCTCCTTGTGAGAGTCCACTCATTCCATTCCGCGTTCAAAGCGCTCGCAGTCATTCCTTGATCCAAACACCACCCTCAGCGCGTCTGGTCTACGCGCGACACCACACTCCTTCGGTACACACTCGCGCATACGATAATCGCAAACATGAAGTCCTTTGCCGTTTCTGCGGCCGCAATCATCGCCGGCCTGGTCTCTACGACTATCGCGCAGACACACACAGACTGTACGTCGTATTCGCCCCAGCATCAAGCAAGATAGGCGCTAACATCCAAAGGCTACCCGCTCAATACGACAAATTGCCCCGACATGGAGGCTCTCGGCGGCAACGTGACTTTTCTGTGGAACAAGACAGGTATTCCACAGGACGACAAGATCTGGAAGATGCCAAACCAAGGCAAGATCGACTGGGTCGAGAAGGGTGCAACTTTTACCATTGAACGATCGGGCGACTCTCCCACAGCGAACTCGGTCTTCTACATGCTGTTTGGACGTCTCGAGGTCATCATGAAAGTGGCTACCGGTACCGGAATCATCTCCAGCGCTATCTTGCAGTCTGAGGCGCTTGACGAGATTGACTGGGAGTTCATCGGCGACAAGAAGACGATTCTCACCAACTACTTTGGCAAGGGAGATACCTCGACCTACGACCGCGGCAAAGACTTTGAGCTTGACTTTGCGCCACAAGACGACTTCCACAACTACACCATTAACTGGAACAAGACGCAGATTGATTGGTTTGTTGACGGCAAGAACATCAGGACTCTTACACCCGAAGAGGCCAAGGGAGGAACCCGCTACCCCCAGACACCCATGAGCATCCGACTCGGTGCATGGGCTGCTGGTGACCCAAGCAAGAACGACCCCGGTGTTGTCAAATGGGCTGGCGGAGAAACCGACTTCAGCAAGGGCCCGTACACCATGACCATCCAGTCAGTGTATGCTCAAGATTACACGAGCGCTGCCAAGTACTCGTGGGAGAACATGGACTCGTCTGGTGACTGGGAGAAGGTCAAGGTCATTGAGTACGTTGTTTTTTCCCTCTGCGCCCACTTGCTTGTAGTATGAAACTAACGATCTGCAGGGGAAAGTCTGAAGTGCTCGAGGAAATCCAGTCACCGCACGGCGTCAGGAATCGCTTCGCGGCTTTATCCCCCGGTGCCAAGGCCGGCATTGCTATCGGCGCTGTTTCAGCCTTTGCCATTGGCGCTCTTGTCATCCTCTTCTGCTGCATCAAGCAACGCCGCATTGGCAGGAAGGAACACGAGGCCCTTTTGGCTGAGGAGCAAAAGGAGGCCGCCGAGCTGAACGAGTACAAGTCGCAGATGCAGGCTGGCCGCTTTGCCGTCGGCGGCGGTGCCGGTCGCGTTTAGATTGCGCAAAGGCACTGATTGGAAGTTGCGATTGTACAGTCTTTAATTAAGATGGGTTCTCTTTGCTACCAATGCTTCGCAGTCTCTTGCACTGGAGCTGCCGTTGCCTTGTCATGTTATGGTCACGATATATTTACTTACTTCGCACACACACATATACTTATATATATACCCTTGCTGTAATTTTGCCAATAGAGCCTTTGCTCTGAATCTTTTATATGTTTTCGACATTGCGACCACACGACTACACTACTCAACACCATGTCAAGTCCAGCTGCGGCTCTGCTCTAATCTCAGCGGCCATGCCTGCAAATCGATGACGTCGTTGTGTAGCGGCTCTTAGCATGTGATCAACGACGAGCTCTTCTCCGCAAACCCCGGACATGCGGGCGTGCGGCCTGCGCCGGCTAACTTTAAGCTGCCTCGGCATGTGGGCGGCGGTCCATGGCCAACTGGCTTGGATACAATCGCACCCTGTGGTTCCCCATTCTTCCCACACATATTTTTGACAATGGCCTCATTCTCACGATCCCTACGACCGCTCACCCGCGTTGCTACGGCTTCGTCGCGTTCGCTGCGACCAGCAGTTCGCCACGCCCCGCAGTATGTCTTGCATCCACCGAAAAAAAGTGTCCAACATGGCCAATGCAAAAACTAACGCGATGCCGGGCCAGAATACGATGTCTCTCCTTGACTCCTTCCAGGCGGGAAGCTGTCGATATCTCAGATGTGCCACCAACGCCCATCACCCACCTCTCGGAGACCGAGATGCTCATGGGCGATTCGGTGTCCAAGTTTGCCAATGATGTCGTACTGACCAAGGCCCGAGAGATGGATGAGGCCGAGGCCATGGACCCAGCAGTAGTCGAGCAGCTGTTTGAGCAGGGACTCATGGGCATCGAGATACCTGAAGAGTACGGTGGCTCGGGCATGAACTTCACCTCGGCCATCATCGCCATCGAAGAGCTGGCGCGCGTCGATCCCAGTGTGAGCGTTCTGTGCGACGTACACAACACGCTGGTCAACACTGCCATTATCAAGTGGGGCTCCGAGAAGCTCAAGAAGGAGTGGCTGCCCAAGTTGGCCACCAACACAGTTGGGTCGTTCTGTCTATCTGAGCCCGTCTCTGGCTCTGACGCCTTTGCACTCGCCACCAAGGCCACGCGAACAGACAATGGCTACAAGATCAACGGCAGCAAGATGTGGATTACCAACAGTGTTGAAGCAAACTTCTTCATTGTCTTCGCCAATCTCGACCCCAGCAAGAAGTACAAGGGCATCACTGCATTTATTGTCGAAAAGGGCACCCCCGGCTTCTCCATTGCTAAAAAGGAGAAGAAGCTGGGTATCAAAGCTAGCAGCACCTGTGTTCTCAACTTTGACGATGTTGAGATTCCCAAGGACAATTTGCTAGGCAAGGAATTCGAGGGCTACAAATACGCCATTGGGCTGCTTAATGAGGGCCGCATTGGCATTGCAGCACAGATGACTGGTCTGGCACTGGGTGCTTGGGAGAATGCAGCAGGGTGAGTCTCATCGTCATGGTCCCAGTGTGAGTGGCCAGACGCTAACAGTTATAGCTACGCATGGAACGACCGCAAGCAGTTTGGTCAACTCATTGGCGAGTTCCAGGGCATGCAGCACCAGCTTGCCCAAGCCTGGACCGACATTCAAGCTGCTCGCGCTCTTGTCTTCAACGCCGCCCGTAAGAAGGAGGCCGGCGAGGACTTCGTCATGGATGCGGCCATGGCCAAGCTTATGGCGTCGCAGGTCGCCGGACGCGTGTCCGGGCAAGCAGTCGAATGGATGGGCGGAATGGGCTTCGTAAGAGAGGGCCTGGCCGAAAAGTATTTTAGGGACAGCAAGATTGGCGCCATTTACGAGGGAACAAGCAACATCCAGCTGACGACCATTGCGAAGCATTTGCAGAAGAAGTACACGAAGTAGATGATTAGTGAGACGACCAACCTACCAAAAAATGAATCAAATATAGCCTGGCTAGAAAGCCACGTGGAACATTATATTCTTACGCTCTCTTTTTTTTTCCTTTTTTGTTAGAGATTTGTTTTTTCATCCATCCTGCAACGCCAGCGCAGAATGATTTACTACTAGATCGCGGGATCGATTCAAGTATGTTGGAGATCACGAGTGATATCACACCACGGGCAGTGCCCAGTGCTCCCGCGGCAAAGCGACATGGTTGACTTCCGCAGTGACGCCGCTGCATCCTCGGACCAAACGGCGGCAGCATGTTTTTGACTTGCTGTAAGGGGCCGCACTCTAATTATTAGCAGCAGCAGCAGCGTTAACACGGCATGGCACAGCAGAAGCGATGCGAACCATGGTCACTGCGCACAGGTGCACATGCTGAGGGGCATGCACATGCGATCTTGTCTCTCCACCCTCGACCCACCAAGACGCCCGAGATTCGTGGCGGCCAGCCCGGCACGACAGTAACCCAACCGTCCAGGCTCATCCATGCACTTGAGGCGCGCCAATGCCCTCGATCGGAAAATATCGCGAAGAACCATGGGTCTGCCTTATGGAACCCCCGGGCTGTATATCGTCATACCTGCGCCTGGCGTGAACCGCTGCTGCCCATCAGGTCATCTTTTGCTCTTCTCACTCTCAGGCTGTGTGTGTCTCTATCATTCTCAAGATACTATCTTGTCTTTCTATGTGCATGCTCTGATTGAAGTCGATCTCAAGTCCTAAAGTCTCCTTATCTCCTTCCCCATTCCCATCACATCCCTGTTTTTTCCTCGTCCCAGTCCCGCTTCTTGCGTGACGGTGGCCCACAACGCACCACTTTCTTAACCCCATCCGTTCCAGCGTCCCAACGCCATCGCTACCGGGGCTGTCGGAATAGTTCTTCCCCCCAGCCACATTGAACAAAGAGTTCTGGCCGTTATCTGGCATAAGTCATAACTTGGTCACCTCATGGTCGTGTAACCACCGCCCACGATGGCGCCAGGTTCCAAGGCCACGGACAAGGACCCTCCAAGTACCAGCCGCACGCATTCGGGACTAGAGAGCATTTTGCCTACTAATTTCCTCGATATGCAAAAATGCGCTGGCAGTCTTCCCAAAGAGAACAAGCCAAAGTCGTCTCCACGCTCGCGGCCATCTGCCACCCCACAGTCCAGCGTGTCACGATCCGTATCGTCCATGTCAAGCAGTTTCATGCAGGAACACTGGGGCCGCTCCTCTTCCTATGTTTCCAGATCCGAACACGATGGAGAAGATACACACAATCCACAGTCCAAGGAGGAAGATGTCCCCCACGTTATAGCCAACTGGGCCCATCTATCTTACATCAAGGCCCAACGTAATACGCTTCGCGCCGAACTGAAAGCACATCAGATTGCGGGCGCTGAGGCAAAGCGGTCAGTGTCGTCGTTGCGTCGTCTGGCCTTTCGCATGGCTGTTAGTATATCCGTGAAGGAGAAACAGATTGCGACTACTGCCCGGAACCTCGCCAAGAGCAGAACAAACCACTATCTCGAAGGTAAGGATGCACAAAATAGAGTCGAGCAGTTGCAGCGGGCGCTGCGAATCGAAGAGGACCGCAACAAGGAGATTCTAGCAGCATTGGAAAGGGCCTCCATGCTGACACTTCAATGTAAGTGAGCTACACTCTGGTATCGGCTCTTCTAATCAGTGCCACAGATTCAACCCCAAAGGAAGAGCCACGACATAATCATGGGAACAGTTTCCTTTCCCCGCCTCCATCTCCACCAACACGTTCAAGTGCTCCTGGTAGCCCGTTCGGCTCTCCCAAGACTCCGACACGATCGTCCACGGCTCCATGGCATGATGTCGACTTTCCGCTCACTCCTCGCCTCGGAAGTGCATTCGAGATTCGCACGTCTGACAGTCGCTTGATACGGGCCAAGCGTGAATCAGACCAAGCTCTTGCTGCATGCCGGAGGCGTATAGAACAACTCCAAAGCGAGTGTGCAGAGAGCAAGGAAGATGGAAGGCTTTTGGCAGTGGCCAAAGCCGGATTAGAACAGGAGATACGACATCAACAATCGCAAATCGCTACTCTAGAGCGCTCAAGAAGCAGTTTAGCCAAAGAGTTGGAAGCTACCAAGGTGCAGCTGCGCATGACCGTGGATTCCGAAGAACTCTTGAAACAGAAACTGCAAGACAAGATTGAAGAACTTGCAGCGTGGGACCAGAAGAATGCGGATATGATGCACACGATTGACCTGCTACAGAAGGAAAAGGCTGAACTTGATGAGCATGTTCAGATGCAGACGAACCAGGTCGAAGAATTCAAGACTCGCACATCTACTCTCGAGCAGACGTTACGCTCCACAAGCGATGAGCTCGAGAACGCCCAGCGCACCGAATCGTCGCTTCGAGACCGCCTCGCAGAAAAGGAGAATGAGTGTAAAGATTTGCAGAAGAGAGTTGACCAAGGGTTGGAAGATATTAGCAATCTTGAGCAGAAAGTCAACACGTACGACGCGGAAGCCGCCGAGCATGCCCGGAAGATCGAGATAGGAGGAAATGCCATTGCTCAGTTGCGTGAACAACTGCACAATGCAGAAGCTACGAGCAAGGACGCTCAGAATGCTTCAGTGGACTTGAAGAAGGAGTTGGAGCTGTTGCAGGAGAAGTCGCGTATCGAGACCGAGGCACGTGATGGCTTGGCGAGTGAACTTGAGGACGTAGAGAGTGGAAAGGCTAGGATGGAAAATGAGTTGCGCGCCACCATGGAACTTCTGGACCAAGAAAAAAAGGCAAAAGAAGAGCTGGAGGAGAAGTTGGGAAGCTTGCGCACATCTTACAACGACACGGAAGCCAAACTCCAGCAAGCTCTTGAGCGGGTTCAAGCATTGGAGGCAGCTGATGGCGTTGCCCAAAAGAAACTTGAGACGCTACGAAACGAGAAATCCGCACTGGAAGCTAATCTTGAGAATGTACGGCAGCTCGGGGCTAAGCTCGGTGAGGATGTTCGCATGAAGGACAATGAACTTGCAAGGATGCAATCGACGAGTGTGGATTTACAGGAAAAACTCAAACAGTCACAAAAGCAGACATCATCACTCCAGAGAGAACTGGAGCATATGCGCAATACAAAGCAAGAAAGCGACAAGCAACACGCTGCGGAACTGGAAAAGAGCAGTGAACATCTCCGGGAACTCGAGGCCTCGATACTCAATCTTCGATCTGTTCTGGAGTCATCAGAGAAACTAGAAGTATCTCTTCGTGAAGAGCTTGGCCATCTACGAGAATCCAAAAGAAGTATTGAAGGCGAGCTCGAAGAGGCTCGTCGTGTCAAAGGGGAACTTGAGGATCAAGTGTGCGAAGCTCAGTCGCAGCTCAAGTCAACGCAGAGCGATCGTGATAGCTTGCAAGCTAAGATCGGAGAATTGGAGAGCAACTTGATAGAAGGTCAACAATCCAGGTCGTTCCTTGAAGAACGATTGGCCGCATCGACTACAGAAATTAGTGCGCTCAAGGATCGATTAGCAGACCTGGAGGCTGCGCTAAAGGAGAGTGATGATAGGAGGGCTAAGGCTGAAACAGCTTTGTCGGTTGCGCAGTCAGACAGCGAGACGACCGCTGCAAGTCTCTGGAATCTTCGCAGGCAAGCCCATGATATGGATATGGCCAAAGATCAACTACAAAAAGAACTCGACGAAGTCATCAACTCTAAGTCAGATCTAGAAGACCAGTTACGCTCTGTGCGGGACGATCTAAAGAAATCTGAATCAGAGGCGAATGACATTCAGGTACAGCTATCCACGCTACAAAGTCAAATCACGACCCTGCAACAATCGAAACTAAATGCCGAGCAAAGCTTTACTTCTCTCCAAGAATTTCATTCGGAGCTTGACGAGAAACTGCAAAGCACACAATTCCAGCTGCAGGACGCTCATTACAAAATCTCACAGCTCGAAACGAGACTGACATCCAGCGAGGAGGAGCTGGAAGCTCTGTGTCGCGCGAAGGCAGCTATGGAGAAGCGACTCGAACAAACACATGCCGATAATGCGCGTCTGGAAGAAGAGCTTAGACTTGCTCAGCAAAACAACGAAGCTATTAAAAGTGAGCTCGAAGATACCGTGGGTTTGAACAGCAAGCTGGAGGAGAGCCTCACTGCAGCTCGCTTAGAGACGGATGAGGCAAACATTCAAAATGCCAAACTCACGGCACGACTGAGGGAAGCCGAAAGAGAACTAGAAAAACTTCGGCAGCTCAAAGGTGATGTAGAAGCAAGGCTGAGCAAAGCCTTGGAGATCTCAGCGAGTACGGAACAAAGCCTTTCTTCGACTCGCTCTCGCCTTGATGAGCTTGAATCGCAAAACACTTCTCTCAACACTGAGCTTGCCAATGCTAGGACAGAGCTAGATGCCGTGCGACAATCGAGAGCGGAGTTGGAAACTAAATTCGAGGTGTCTGAACGTCACAACGAATCTCTTCAAGAAGATTTATCTGGCATGCATTCACGGGTAGCTGAGCTCGAAGCTAACTGTGCCAACTTGGCTTCTCAAATGTTGGAAAGTGATCAACAGTCAAACAGCCTGCGACTGGAACATGCTAAGCTTGAGGAGTCTTCGCAAAGTACGTCCCGTCAGGCCAATGAGTTACAACTTGAACTCCGCGCGGCTCAAATGCGTCTCGAAATTGCAGAGTCTGAGAGCTTGGACGCATTCAACAGGCTTCTCGAAGCCGACAAAGAGCTTGTGTCACTGCGTGGTACGAACATCAAACTTGAGGCTTCTGAAAGAGAACTCATCTCACGTCTTGCTTCAGCGGAAGAAGAATTGGAGAATGCGCGCCAGACGAATGCCGACCTGGAGGCCTTCCTTGAAAGTGTTGAGTCAGACATAGCCAATGCCTATTCCGCTGTCGAGGATACCGAGAAGCGTTATCTGGAGTTTGTAAAGGACTCTGAAGCTAAGCTTGAGGCTGCGAAGAGTTCCAAGTCACGGTACAGAACTCGACTTTGTGAGAAGGACAGCGAGCTTGAGACTCTTACCAAAGAGAACTCTGATCTACACCAACAAATCGATAGCCAAACCCAGCAAATGGATACACTTGAGAAGAGCAAAGATGAGCTGGAGGAGGAGCTATCAAGAAAGGAGAAATACATTAAAGAACTCGGGTCATCGGCCGATGAGCGAATGAGATCAATGAATGCCGCGTACAACAATCTCAAGAAGAAGTACGAACAGGAGCATCAGCAATTAGGAGACGACCACGAAAACACAGCCCGGCTAGAAGCCGAACTGGCGAGAAAAACAACAGAACTCGACCAACTCCGTCACGACCAAGAAACCCACACCACCTCCTTCACAGCCCTCCAACAGCAACTCGCCTCCCTCGAAACCGACAAACAAACATTCGAATCCCTCATCTCCACCCTCCAAGAAAAGTTAAACCAGCTAGAACTCCTCGAAGAATGGTCCGCCTCTCCCATCTCCCCTCACACACCTTCCACCGCCGCCAACCACGCCACCTCTACCGCCCCCTCAACCCCCAAATCCTCGCACCCAACCCACATCAGCACCCCAAACACCAGCCCACGCCCGGATACCCGCGCTAGCACTCTATCCCACAACCCCGACGACCTATGGGCCCACCAAGTCGAGCAAGTCCGCCTCCAACGCAGCGAAACAGCCCTGCAACTGCGCGGCCTGAAGACATCGCAACATCACCTCAGAAAGACGCTGCGCAGTACAGATAAAGAGCTAAATCGGCTGGAGCGCGGGAAGAGCAAGCGAAGTCCGAATCTACTGAGGAAGAGAAGTAGACCGTTTACCGCGGGTGGATGGAGCGACGTAGAACGGAACGATCTAGAGGGCAAGCCGGAGAAGGAGAAGAAGAGGATGTCACATGGTTTGGGCCTTTTGACTCGAAAGAGTATGCATTTTGGGAGAGGTGCGGCTGAGGAGGAGGGCAAGAGACGGGAAGGGCGCAGAGTACTTAGTGTGGGGGATGAACTTGGTGCCAAGGCGAAGGAGAAGGAGGGGCGGAGGTGGAGTGTTGGGCTTAGGGGATTGTTTCATCGGGATGCGTAGGATTACCTTTTTTCTTTTCTTTTTCTATTTTTTCCTTTTGTACTGGTCTAGGGATGGGTTTGGTTAGATGCGGAACTCGGGCTCGCGCTCGGAGGGGTTTTTTTTTAGTGATATCCAGGGTTATATGGTGTTTTGTGATTCTTATTCTGTTTCTTGGGGAATGTAAGAGTAGGGTTTTGTTGATGGTGTGAATAGGGATGGAGAGGTAAGGGGTTTGGATATACATATGGTATTGCTGTTTACCCACTCGCTTGATTGATTTAGTAGAGGTATATAGGATTGTTATACCGGGGGAATGTGGAAAACTGTCTTTACTGCTATAACCGATGACCAACTTTGGGCTGTTCGCACTATCATACTAGAGCAAGGAGATGCTTGGTATCCATCACGCAAATCAAGTACCAGCTCGACAACACTCCTAATATCGTTGCATGGGTTGATAAGAACGGACGAACAAGACATTACATTTAGTCGTGTACAAACGTAATAGTAGTGTTTACTCTAATTAAGTAAATGCACCTGGTGTATTACTACACTAGGTACCATAGTTTAAACTGAAAGGATTCAGACAGTACTACGCGCCCTGGCACTGTCTATCGTTTGTCTAATCAGAGTGCCGTGCACTTCTGACCTCCTGTGTTCTCAATATTTAACCTAGTTGATCAAAATGCCCTTCGCCTTTGCCTTTGTGCACTCAGGACCAAGGCGGGGATCGATCTTGTTGCCAGAGACCGAGATGTATTGGATCGACTTGCTAGCGCAAAGGTCCTCGGGGACGGTACCGGTAAGCTGGTTCCATGAGAAATCAACGGCGGTGAGGTTAGGCAGGAGGCCGAAGCCCTTGGGGATGGTGCCGGTGAGGTTGTTGGTGGCGAAGCTGAGTTCCTGGAGCGACATGGCTTTTGTCAGACTGGCGGGGATGGGGCCGGTGAACTGGTTCTCGAGGAAGCTGGCGGCTTGGAGGTTCTGGGAGTTGGCAAACATGTCGGGGATGGGGCCACTGAAGCGGTTCACGCGGACAAAGAGGACCTCGAGTTCGGGGAGGGAAGACATGAGGTCTGTGGGGAGGGGGCCGGTGAACTGGTTGTTGCCGATGTCGAGGTAAACGAGACCGTTGTTGCTTAGTACGTTCCTAGGGAAGCCACCGGAGAATTTGTTGTCGCTGACGTCGACCTCGTATAGGTACTTGCTGTTCTTGAGGTTGGGGATGGGGCCGCTGAAGCTGTTGTTGACGATATGGATAAGGGCAAGATCCGGCAGATTCTCGACAAAGTGGTTCAGCTTGAGGTTGCCGGTCAAGTGGAAGTTGTTGAAGTCGACGGAACCGAGGCTGAGCACACCAGTGTCGGGATTTGGGGCGCAGAAAAATCCATACCATTGGCAGATATCGGAGCCGGTCCAGTTTGTGAGGACCTCCGGGGGGCCAGTAACCGTCTTACGGAAGGCGACAGCGGTAGCCAAGTCTCGCACCAGATTGGCAGGAAGAGCAGCAGCGTGTTGCGGTTGGTGGGGAGCAGCCTGCGCCAGGGCAATTAGGGAGGAGACAATGAGTGACAACATTTTTGTTATGCGTGGTTAACGAGTGTGAGGTCTCAATTGAGTATTAAGCAGATAAAACGAAGGACTGTTCGGATCTGGACGTGTGTGTCCTGCCCTTTACTCTGCTCGGCAGTGCGAGCAAGTTATATATGACAGAACATGTCCCTGAGGCTCACCTACCAAATGCGTTGTGTTGTGGGGTGGTGTAATAAGCCCGAAATGAACACCCGAAACGTGCGCTGATCATTCTGATTACAATGCTATGGCGTCGGTTTTTGCGTAGGATGCCTTGACACAGTGCTGACGACCTGCAGGTCCTAGATGCCGCTCGGACCCTAAGAATTTAAACTTGGATATTATCTCGATCGTTTCTAGTTGGCGATGTATTAATGATGTATAGCGTGGCCCACGCTGCCTCAAATTCGAGTCCATCTCTTGAATAAGACAACAAATGCGTGTACCTTTTGGCCAAACACACAGCACACGTATAGCCAACCGCTATGAAGTCGGCTTAATATGAGGAAAGCTGACTGATGTAAGACTATGTACCTTGCATATTGCTCGGTGACTTTCATCCAGAAAACTTCTTTAAACCCAATCCACCAATAAGAATAAACAACTTTTTGATTAGTGTGATGAGATTCAAAGCTCAGATCCTGTGAATGATGAGCATTTGGGATATTCGGTTCGTTGCCGACTGAAAGACTAATCTGCTCACCAACGTATAGTATAGTGCATATCTGATATCTCAGAGCGGGAGCTAACGGCCCCACAACGTGGTTCATCTTCCACGGTACATGCAAAGTGTGCGATAATCGACATCGCTTGGTTCCCCACTTGCTGCTTCCCCCCCCCATAAGACTCCGGAGAAAGGTTGTGGCTGTCAGGAAGCTTGAACCAGTGGCTGACATACGCCTACTGTTCTTTTCGTACTGGGATTATGCGGATCCATACTTACTATTCTTGGGCAGTAGCAGCAAACTTTGCGTGGTCTACAACCATGTAATAGTAGGCTAGCGAAAGGTTTCATACTTATCTATTGTGGTTTATCGAGGCACAAGGTAGTGCTTGGAGACACAGCACGTCTCATCTGGCATTGCCATTGTGCGAAAAGACTATTACTCGTTGACAGAGCTTTCGGTATGTACATTTGCAAAGCAGCCATCTTAATCGGGTGATGAGCCAAGGGGTACAAAATGGCATAAGAACTACGGTAAAAGGGCCTATGTAAGCATATCGGCACTCAAATGTGGTTAGGCTTGCTGATGGTTGGCAAATTACTCGCAAGCGTTAGTTAAAGCGAGGCTAGGACCAGGCTTGGCTGATTACGACGAGCCTTGCCGCACCCCCTCGAGCCAGGAATGTGTTTGTGGATTTTAAAAAGCTTTCTAGACGGGCAATTACTCAAATATGTGAAATTACATAAACTCTCTTTATGAATTTCTGCCAACAACTGGTCGGGAGATCAATTGAGTATGGACGGGCCGATAATCGGGTGCAGACGGACCGGACACTAGGTAGTAGTACTAACCTTGTGAACGGGCCGTGTATGACAGCCACCGGGTCACATCATGTCATTGGGATATGGCAGAAGTTTGAACTAGAGAACCCGGGTACGTAGATGACTGCTGGTGACTGTTAATGCAGTCTAACAACTTTGCTTGAAATGATTGTCGCAGACGCCCCATTACAACTCAGACACACTTGCTGCTATGGTCTGGGTTCAAAAGCCTCACACGCGCAGTTAAAGGAACATACTGTTAATCTATTGATTTGACAAGTCCACATTCTCTAGGCAGTATCTCATCGAGCATTTGCATGAACCCATCTGCTTTCCAAACGTCCGACATATATTCGCGGGTTCTTGTCATTTGAAAGCACAAGCTCTGCTAGCAAAATCAGTTCCAGGAATTATGACAGAGGCCATACACATAAGATACAGATTGCGGAATCGCACGCGAATCCTGAGTTCGGTATGCCTGTCGCCATCGCCATATTTTGTTGATGTGTAATCGAACTTTGAACGTAGCACTGTAGCTGTAAAATATCTGCGAAATAATTGCTTCCTTGTCAGTGCGCAGAGGCACCTCACAGTTCTCCATACCCGAAGGAACTCAATAGCATTACTATCACTTGTAGATGTTAACCCTTCAAGACCAGCACTTAGCAGTAATATCCACAATCTTGTGGCTACCGCTGGTCACTATATCTTCTGAATCAGTGGGGCTAGATCAGTCACCATCGTTTTCGGCCTTCCATTACCCAATCTGGCCAGACACTCCAAAACCGCTCTGTCATATGGAACAGGAAGAGGATCTCACAATCGACCTATTCAAACTACCCCCTACAATCCATCTACCTACTCACTTAATTTTGCGGCTAAGCTGGGGAGATACCGAGTATGCAAGGGCCTCAACACTACGGCTGGCGGAGAACGCCAGGTAACGAAGTTAAGCACTACCAACTCTCTGAAGATCAAGGGAAATATCACAGCCGATGCAAGGATATGACATCATTAATTTTAGCCAAGCGATAACAGTAAGCGAACTCGTACAGGCCACTGCAGCCATTACAAGGGCGCTACATCTCAACAGGAAAATTACCCGATTCGTACTATGCTATTTACATGTTCAGATCCATAGAGAGGAACCACTAAGGAGGGATATGCAGAACGAATGCATTTGGCTTTATTGAAATACAACCCCGCACCCGGCCGGGAGACACAGAATCCGATATCTCTTCATTCACAAGCAAATATCACCTGGAACAATGGAACCCAGTTCAACCACGACCAAGCTCATGCAGCTCGAGGCACTGCTGCATTCTGCGCTAGCTACGCTGGGAGAATCAAGCGGAAATTACAAGGACTCTCTTCCTCCGAGAGCGCTGTTCGATGCCCAAAGAACAATTCTCGCTGCAGTTGGTATGATCACTGAGCTCGTGAGCACGCCGAGCATGCGTCTTCTAGAAGTATCGATGCAGTATTTCGAGGCACGAGCTTTACACATAGCGGCTGAGAAGCGGATCCCAGACATGCTTGCTGGCTGTGATGAGAACGGCATTGCAGTCAAGGAGCTGGCAGAGCAAGCAGGTTGCGACGCTCTAAAACTATGTTAGTATAGCCGGTATATGCGAAAGGTCTCGGCTGTGTTTGTTGACTTTAACATAATGGCAGCTCGAGTTATGCGTTGTCTTTGCTCGATACACATCTTCAAGGAAGTCCAACCCGACCGGTTTGCAAATAACGAAGTGTCAGCAGCTTTGGTGAACAACGAGCCGCTCAGGGCATATATTGTGATGTTGTATGTCTATTTGGGCTCTCATAAGAAGACAAAATACTGAATGTCCGTTTGTAGCGCCTTCGACCTGTACTCTGCTTCCGATCATTTACCTAGATCCCTATTCGATAAGAAAATGGGCCCTTCATACGATGTCGCAGAGACCGCCTTCCAAAAAGCTTT